ACTAATCATGGATCCCTTTAAGATTCACATCTACTAACTGAAGATTTAGACTTATGCTACGTTCACACGGACGCAGCAAAAGCAGCAAAATCGCGTCTGCTGCTTCATTTTTGCTGCTTGTACCAGTGAGTTCTGACGCGCGGCTGAAGCAGCTTTGCTGCTCTGGCTGCGCGGTGCAAAAGTGTGTCTGACGCGCGTTGGGCGGAGCTTCACTATCCTTTCTCTGCTTTGCAGCTATATTTGCTGTGATCAGTGGGAATAAAGTAGTTTTAATATGTGTTTAAGTGAGAAAATACACCTGAAAACGTAATCAGTGCCGTCAGTTCATTCAGATTATCATCCTGCCTTCCAATATTTTTTCTGTCGGAGCCGCTCAGACCCCCACATACCAGCGGTGCGCCGACAGTAGGAATCCCTTCATCAGCAGCCTCTGGCCGGGTCGCCTCCTCGCGGTTCACCGCGGCAGCTGGTAGGTGTTTTTCATCTAAATAATCCAAACTGCAGGCAGCAGGATAATAAAAGCCAACATATTCTGCCGGCAGATTTCTGCATTTTAAGTTAATTTAGGCGTCAATAAACAGTTTAAGAGGAGTGATCATTAGCGCTCTGATCATCAGCGCTGTGTCTCTCTCCCTGCCAGCTCCCAGATCAGCTTCTCTGATTGGTTGACGCGGTGCGTCGAGCAGCAAAAATTCAATTTTTCCATCTCGAGCAGCAGCGTGTTTACGGCGCGTCAGATGCTTAAACGTGCCCGACGCACTGCTTCAGCTGCTCAGACGCGCTGCGACTGCTGCTCAAAATGCGCCGCGGGACCCTTTGCTGCGCCTTGACGCGCGTCAACCATTGACTTTGCATGTAAACTCGCTGCTTCTGTCGCGCCAGCTGCGTCCGGTATGAACGCAGCATTAGACTCTATTTTATTTATCCCTTGGGATTACTCCTTCAGGAAAACTCTGGCTCCAGTAGCTTATATAGAGTAAAAAGAGCTAAAGCAAAATGACATTAAAAATAAAAATACAGAATATGATTTTTCCTCCCATCCCAGAAACTGACCCAGCTTGGATGGGGATGATCTGTGAACAAAGATGTAAATCTTGTTGCAGGCTCTCATTTGGATTCCGTTTTCCCAGAAAAAGGACAAGAAGTGTTAAAGTAAATGGGGCTGACTATATGTATAGCACACATTTTCATATTGAAATTTATTTTTAAAAAGCATCCGGTTCTCTCTGCCTCTGAATGTCAGTGTTTGATTTAAAACCGTCATTTATTTTTGTGAAAGCTTTCCTACATGAACAATTGTTAAAAAGTCCAAGGGGTGCAAATACTTTAAACACTCTTAGTGCTGTGGATGAACAGTGTCACAGTGATTTGATAAAGCAGAACATTTCCTCACGGTACAGAATGGGCTTATTCTGGACAGCATGAAGAAAGTGGGACATCTTGATGGTAATGCTGCTTTTATGGTTGGCTCCCTTTGATCAGCGAGCCTCTATAATTTGACACATGCTGGACTTATTTATTAGAGTTGATAAATCTGTAGGCAGAGCTTTGTGGGCTTCGCTCTTCCAATCCAACCCCTGGGAGGCAGATATGCTGACCTAAACCAACAATATTGGATTTACAGTTAATTTGTTCCCAATTTTCATCCATCAGCTTCACAAAAAGCATTTCCCTAATCATCAGCAAAGGACTCTACACAAAATACCTGCAATGAGTTTGCTGCCATTTTTATCAACATCAGAAGCTTCTGATTCAGGAGAAGACAAAAACTATGATTTAACTATGATTTGAAAACAACAAAAACAAAAATAAATGGATAGTTTTTGCTGGTATTCCTGAAACTACAATGATGAGATAGCAGTGCAGCTCTATGTAGCATGCTAGCAAATGGAGACAAAGCAGATCAATAAACATAAACTTTGGTAAAACAACTTGATTTTTAGGCAGATTTGTTCAAAGTAATTTAAAAAATACCCAAGTAAAGGTAAAAATATCCTATGTGCCAGTATTCTGTTTTTCCCATGCATATACTTCAATTCTATATTGAAAATTGAAGAATGTAACCTTCTGTTGTTAATAAAATACAGATTATATTAAAAAAAATATGGTCCCTTTAACAGATACATTCATAGATTATTTATTGATTGAATGATTTTAACAAAAAAGGTTCGATCCTTTACTTGAGTAAAAACAATGGAGGTAGAATTTGTAGAAATCCTGCTTTAGGCCAGAAAAAAAAAAAACAGGTTTTCAACATTACATTCCATCTGAAATTAGAATAGCAGCGAAGCCATGGTGTAGAACGACATGGATCCAATACCGTGCTGGCTGCCTAATGAAACTAAAAGTAAATGCATCTAATCTGTATTAAACACTGAAAAAGTTTTGAAATAATTTAAAGCAAAACTCATAGAATGGTCAGATTTGAGGACGATATGTAGAATGAAATGCGGTGGTATAACAACATTTTCCAGCGCTACATTATCATCAAAATGGCAATATGTTTTCTTTGTTAATGCATGTACATAAATCTGTATAAATTGTACCATTAGACATTATCATGATGCGTATTGGATTGCCGAATTCTTGACAATTTAAAACCCCTGTAGATATACTTCATAACTGCACACCTCTGGTTTCAGAGTTGGTTGATCTTGAAGGAACACCTTCAGCATCACTGGTTGATAGCAGAAAACTTCTGTCAAGTTGTTTCTTCTTCATATGTAGCAGATTCAGTTAGCGAATCATTTCTGTTGTTTTCTAAGATTATTTTTTTAAGCCATAATGTCTGCTTGGATTTTACCAGGGCCCGCTGAATAACTCCTGCTTAGGTTTGTAGCAAAATGGGAAGAATGGCAAAAGGCAGGAACACTCAATGGGCCCCTGCTGTAACAATGAGAACAGGACTATTTCACTATGTTAAACAACTTTATGCTGTTTTCACTCCAAATGCATTTAAAGCATCAAACAGGCGTCGGAAGCCTCATCATGGAAACTTATGCACATTACAGTTAGATGAGCGTATTTTGGTCCCACCCAATGGGAGACAGAGAGAGAAAGATAGGTGCGGCTTAGCTTTATTAACTGTTAAAAGATCGGGAAAGAAGAATTCCACTTCAAAACTTCATCAGTGCAGTTAAGCAAGATTATGATTCTACTTTGATATCTTCTGTAGCCGTCCTGAGCAGACAGATAGTGGGGGGGGGGGGAGTTGTTACTGGGGATCCCCAGAGACCGCTCCCTCAAACTGGCCAAGCTCTCAGGGATTTCCTGCCCCTGTTCATGGCAGCTGGTAGTGAATACAAGCCTAGGTTGTTGGTAAAAACTTTAAAGTTCCAGAATATAAAATCTAACATTTTTGTTTTCAAATTTTGACATACTAATATTGGCATTAATTCTAAACAGTTGTGCTTCAGTTTAATAAGACATTATTTTAGTGGAGTGAACAAAGAACTTTGACTTTTCTGTGTAAAAGTGGTGGCTGGCCAATAGAGGGAGCTATAGTGCCGCCCCATCCACCCAATGACACAGATTAAGACATAAAAAATGTGTATATATATATTTTTTTTATAATTTAAATTAAATTTACGTTTAAAATATTTCAAAATATGTCAATGTATATCTTTTTAGATGTGTAAGATAAATATTTTATCTTTAATGACTAGTAAAGCGTCATTGCATTTTTCGTCAGATTGGTGACGTATTTCCGCCCTGGGCGCAAAAATCTTTGCCCATCAACTCTCGTTAAAACTTGGAAACGAGCAATAGCTCCTCTGCAATACAAAGGCATAGGAGAACTCTGCTTACAGGAAGTGTATTTGCTCACCACCTCCCGCAACGGTGCAGACGTTTTGCGGGTAAAAGAGAAAGAATCTTGTTTTTTCAGGACCTGGTTTAGCAAGAAGGCTTGCCTAACTGCATGCAGCGAGGCTACCACTTTATTCTGCGTTTCCTGCATCCTTTTTTAAACCTTAGGATCTGACCCAGCATGGATAAAGACAGGTAGGACTGATTTATGGCCCTTTGCAGAAAAGGCAAAGAGGAATAAACAATCTGGGATTCACAAGGAAAATAATATAATATAGTGTACTTTTTCTACATGTTTGTTAATGTGCATAGTTGCTATTAACTAAACACATTCTCTGAAAAGAAATATTTTTGATATATATTAAAAAATATAAAGCTGACTAATAGCTTCTCATTTTTATAATGTGCATATAAATAACTGGTGTGATACTATTGGTTTTGGATATACGTCTATTTTGAATTTACAGCCCAAAACTCCATCAGCCACTACTGCTGTGTACATCCAAAAAAAAAAAAAACAAGGAGAAAAAAACACTTTCCTGGATTTTTATGTAAAACTTTTGGCATATAAACTCTTAAAATTGTTAAAATTGTACATTTCAGGTACAATTTTAGATTTGAAATTATAGCTAAAAAATATTTTCATATTTACAATAAGGATGTGGCTGATGATGCAGAGCTGTCCTCACATGAAGTCTTGAAAGTTGCAGTTAAACATGTACTGGTACTGAATTTGGAAAATGTACCAACAGAGAAGAGATCTGGAAATCTTTTAGAGCTGAAGAACCAGTAAATTAAAAATATTATTTTGCTATTAAAGGACTTATTAGTTGCAGCTCTGCTAATGGACACCAGGTCATTTTTTGTAGATTTTTCCCATAATTCCCCATTGGTAAAAATCTTTTACTCAAAATGAATTTCACTAAAATCTTTACTCATTTAATATAAAGGAATTTATGAGTTGCTTGACATTACAAGTGATTTAAGCATCTTATTTTCACAATCAAGGATTACTAAATGAGAATTATCTGTGTGTATTTATAGATCGGTAAGATTTAAAAGAACATTTTTCAGGTTTTTTTAAGACAGATTGAAACAGCTAATCTCCTGATAGGCCATAGGCTGAAGCCTGTATCGTTCAGGTTCGCTCCACCTATTTAGGGACTACTAAATGACAACTACAATAAAATCCTAAGTGCATTTTGAGCCCATAACCAAAAGTTCTCCAATCACTTTGCGCCAGTATTTTTACAGTAATTACTTAAAAGTGTAACTATATCGGTAGCCTGATCACACCGTTAATCTATGCTCGAATCAATCCGCCTAGCCGTTAGCCAATCAGAGCGCGTCCTTCAGGTACGCTCTTCCACTTCAGAAGCGGAAAGAGGAGTACAACAACAAACATGGCGGCCCCCATGGAGCAGAGCGTTCCCGTTGGATCAGACAGAAAACGCAAGAAAAATGTGGATTATATATGCATCACACACATATCATCGATGGACAAAGAACGGACACAGTTGTTCGTTGGAAGAAGCTGGTTGTATGTGGCCGTAAGTGGCTAGAAATTGACGGAATCGACCGCGCGTTGGCAGAGGCTGTATGTGTACACGATGAGTCCGCCAGAAATAACAATGACGATTCCACGTCAACCCTGGCTTGTTCAGAAGACTCTTTCTGGCTTCTTGGGGGGAAAAAACTTGGTTTTCATCCAACTTGTTATAGGCGTTTCATCGATAAGAAACGAATTGCCAGTGCTGAAAAACTAGCAGAAAAACGGGGAGCATGTGATGGTGACAACAATGGTTCTGATTCTGATCACGAGTCTTCCACAAACACGTCCACGACAAGCCGGCCATACTCTGCATAACGGTTGAGATCCACGACTAAATCATTGAGGTCTGGCAATGTACTACCTGCTGTCTGTATAATTTGCAAGAGGGCTGACCGCTTTGTGAAAGAAGGACACAAGACAAAGAAAGATAAATTGGTCCAAGCAGAAACTATAAATGCTGGTGAGTAGATCATTTGCAGATTGCATCTTTGTTTGTGGCTTATAACCAAAAGCAAAAGTTATACATATGTTGATTTAAAAAAATGCATGTGTAATTGGTGCCAGCCCAAGCCTGCTCTTTTCATTGTGAAGTAAGCTTATGAAGGCTATGTGTAGGGCCTCAAAAATAATAAAAGGCATTATTATGAACGTGAAGTGATGATAGGCAATTAATTCATTTGTCAAATAATGGTTAGATTTTAAATTTGTCACCCAACTACCAGTTCAGTCTCGTAAAACAGAGAAAAGGTATTTGATATTATTTGTTGGCAGCTGGTTTATGATTGAACTTTTTTAACTCTTTCTTTGCTAGGGAGTTTGGTTAAAGCAACTGAACTGCAAACGGATGAATCCATCCTCAAGGTTGTAAGTGGAAAAGATGCTACAAAGAATATACAAGATTTCTGGGGGCTACAACAAGTGATGAAAGGTAAATTTCAGATAATTCAAGTAGAATATTTGTGAAATACAAATACTTGAGAGTGAACCATATATTGATGGTAGGGTTACATTCTGGGGTTAAACATTTTTGAAAGTTGATTATTCTTACAAATGAAGCCCAGTTTATAGAGAAATTATATTGTAGTAAAAAATGTAGAATACACATTTGGATGCAGTTTTAAATAAAACATTTTAACCATAAATTTGTATGAAATGAGATATTCTATCAATGTTAATTTTAAGATTGAGTAAGCATTTTAACTCATCTGTATTTTGCATTGTTTCACACAGGATGCCAGAAGCCTGGGAGTATGCCACTGTGTACACAGAATGAATTTTGTGAATTTGGGCACAGTTGATTAAAAAACAAGAAATCTTCAGGATGAAAAAGCTCTCCTCCCTGTTCCAGAAAATGATACGAGAACACCATGGTCAAGGAAGTGACAGGTAATTATGATTCATTAATAGATTTTGATATTATTCACATCAGGGCTGCACAATGGTGCAGCAAGAAGGTCCTGTGTTCAAATCCAACCCTGGGTCTTTCTGCATGGAGTTTGCATGTTCTCCCTGAGCATGTGGGGGTTCTCTCCGGGTACTCCAGTTTCCTCCCACAGTCCAAAAACATGACTGTTAGGCTAATTGGCTTCTCTAAATTGTCCTTAGGTGTGAATGGTTGTTTGTCCTGTATGCCTCTGTGCTGCACTGCGACAGACTGGCGACCTGTCAGGGTGTACCCCTAGCCTGGGTGCCATTCCGAACTTAGTCCCGCCCACAAGGTTTGAGGTCGGGGAAGTTCGGTCTGGCTCTGCTCCATAGTAGCGCGAGTATTAAAGCCCACTGTCAGGCGATCCAATCAAATTGTCAGGGCGGGCTTTATACGATGATGGACAGATGATCAAGAGTAACGTTATCAACCACGTGACCAAAGCGCGCTTGGGTGACAACAACAATGGCTGCCGCTGGAGAGTTTGGGTGAGTAGATTCTGCTATTAGGTCTGTTCTAGAAGATATCGACAGCAAATTAATTTTAAAAGAGGAACAGAGAAACGCGATCAAGGCTCATCTTCTTATTCTAGGCGTGCAACTGCACGCTTTGATTTTTGTGGACAACAACTATACGTCGCTTAACATACGTCACGCACTCCGTTGCTCTTATTGGTTGTAGATCTATCCAATTGAGTGCAGAGGCATTTTTTTTCCTGGTTCGTTCAAAACACGCCCCATAATCACAGCTCTATGGAGCAGCATCAGACTCATATTCTGACTAGAATTGAGTCGGACTACGTCAGGCTAGTGTACCCCGCCTCTCGCCCAGTGAACGCTGGAGATAGGCACCAGAAACCCCCGCGACCCCATGAAGGATAAAGTGGGATGGATGGATTATTCACATCAGCATATATTTATTATTCCTTGTCAATTTTTCACAGATCAGATCTTCTGAAGAAAAGACTGAGGCAAGACTTTTCCCAACTAAATTTCTACAAGCCTCGGAGGAAAAACCTGAGTGAAATGGTATTTACACAAGCTACAGGACTTCTCAACAAGGGTTCATCAACTGAAACTGAGTCATCAGGATCGCAAGAGACTTTGTCGAGTGGTGGAGAGACAGTTCAGAAAAGTGGTACATATGCAGCACAATGAGGCTGTACCAGAACCATTTATAGTGCAGGTATAACTCTTAAACAAGCAGTTAAGAGTGCCCCTAACATCAGTGCCAATTGGCCTCCTACATCTGAGGATCTAAATATTTCCTCAGCTAGAAAGATTGTGCCAATTGAACTGTATAATTCACTTGCTTGGTGCATAGGTGTAAGTGATGAGTTGACATTATCTAAGAAGGTTAATGTTAATTTTAATAAAAGTAATTGTTTAAAAACAGAAATGTCTTTGTGCCTAGTTTTCATTGTTCAAATTTTAGCTGTGTTTCAGTGATTTCCTAAAATTTTGCGTCCAATATTGTAACTGGTCTGCTAGGTGATAAAATTCACACCACTTTTCATAATAATTAGTTAACCAGACACAAAAGGATATCTTGCTATTAGAGTTTTTCAATTGAAAATTCAAAGAATTGCAGTTTTCATGTGCAATAAAGATATATTTTGGGAGATTGTGAAATTGTTAAAAAGTGTATTTTTTCATTTAGAATAACTCCTTACTTAAAGCACGCAGGACATTGCCGCTATATAAGCTCTGAGTAAGTATGAATCTCTGTGGGAATCTAAATTCTGAGTCTGATAGCCTTAATAATAAAAAAGTTACAAGGGTTTGAAAATGGTAGAAGACCCAAATTTGTCACTTTTTTGGGTAAACTGCCACCTTTGGCACCCATTTTCTCAAATACTGGCAGGTATCCCATGGAGAACTTTTTTTCCCAGCTCGAGTACATATTTAAGATTGGAAAACTGCTATCGAAAAGTAGTCCCCAGGTTAGTGGAGTGAAATCCTATTTCTAGCCTCATTTTGAGCTTCAGCCTATGACCTATGAGTGTCCTGTTCTCTTACAGCCTAAATTATCCAAACATCCTTGCAGTACTTTTAAATAAGATCTCACATCTCTGCCTGCTGGGACTTCACAGGTAACACCTTAGGGATAACAAACAAAGGAATGTTGATTTCTATGAGCTAACGCTTTGACTTTTAGAGCAAGTAACAAGATTATGATTTGTACCAGGGATTCAAATGATCAATTAATAAATCAATCAAAGTTGATAGATCTTCGCAATCGACTAACTATTAATTAATTAGCATTTTCTTGAAAACCAGAGTTTTCCCTCGATCAAGAGGTTCTTTCAAAATTCTATCCATTTGATTGGACTAAGCTACTGAGCAAAGCAGAATGAGCACAAACTAGCAAAGCTAAGATTTGCAACAGAAATGCGCCATACTTTATAGATATTTTTTGGAAAAACTAAAAAGAAAAACAAACATAACTTTCCTTGTAATATGATAAATAAACATGCACAGTTCAAAACATATTTGTGTTTTAAGGACCTAGCTTATTTAAAGTGTTACCGGAGGCTATGCTTTGCTTAATGATAGATAGCTTCACTGTACTTACTGTCCCTCAATGAGCCAGGTGCACTTGGTCTTGTACTGATAGTTTCCTGGACCATCCGTCAGGTGACCAGACGGCCCGGTAAGCCTGAAGGAGAGACATGAAGAAAATGAGATAAATCCACAAATATTGATGTGCAAATTTAAACAAAAACCTTTTAAATTCAATACAAAAAAAAAACAGACAAGAAGTAATACAATGGTAAATAGTGGTATTTCCATAGTTTCACAAATAAGTAAATATTGCATCACAATACAACCTAAAAAAAAAAAAAAAAAGCCCTGTTGCACAAGAGTTAGTCAATCAATCACAGAGAGCTGGTAAACACTAACTTCTGCTGCTTTACGTCACTTTAGGCAGGGAGCAACAGCGTCTGATGACTATGTAAGTTGGTAATGCTGTTAATAGTCCAGAATAGCCTGTTGTTGCCTGGTGCTTCATGTCTTGATTATACAGCAGCAACAGACAGGAGCTCACCAACACCAGAGAGTAAGAGTATCACTAATGATGTAGGTCTCAGGGCACAGCAAGTCTGCCAACACACCCAGACGGTTGTTTTCCACAACACTGTCACCTTAAAGTCTGCAGAGAAAGCTGCACACGCCTTGGCTCCTTAGCTAAAGGAGCCGGTCAAAGATTAAATCTATTACGTCGGAAACCAGATTGTATTCTTACAGTTTTACAAGACTTATAAAAACAGAGTGCTTCTGGAGAGCAAAAAACTCATAGGTCCCAGATTTGATTATATTTGTTATTTGTATCTAAGTAACAAGTGTGCTGCAAGCTTTTGTTTTAGAGAAAACTTCCTCCCTGAACTACCCAAAGTTTATCACAGGTTTGTTTTCACTGGCTTACATTTCTGCGTAGGCAACCTTTCAGTTAACATCATGTATACCGCTTAATAAAGTTTATATATTTCTGTGAAACCTTTATAAGTTTGACATTTCAGTGCTTGCATTTTCAATGTTTGACTTTTCAGTTTAAAAATGTAAAGTGTTTAGTTTTTCCAATGCTAAATCTGACATTGATGTTAGACTAAATCAATGTTTATTGTCATTTTGTGTGTATACAAAATGAAATTTCATTTTTGTACAGTTTTAAGACAGTGAATGAGCAGCAGTTTAGTAGTGAAATGAACATTTCTATTTCATAAAGTGCAGTAGTGATCAAATGTAAACATTGTGGGAGATAAACATGGTGCAAAACGCATTGATACGGAAGTTCAGAGCATTTCAAGACAAATATATTGGGTGGAAATATGCAGCATTTTGGTTTGGCGTCATCAGTGTGATGCAGAGTCAGTGACCTGATTTAGAGGTGGGGGTTTTTTTTGTTTTTCTTTGAAAAGTTCAGCAGTCTGATGGCAGAATCTGCTTGACCTGCTGTTGCTATGATGTCAATGCAAGCTATCGTGGATTAGCTCTACAGGATTGTGTCATTAACTCTGCAGCAACCCCTCTCACTCAGCATGCATGTTGAGACAGTGGAGAGAAAATTTCCCTTAAACAGAAGAAACCTCACAACCAGGCTCAGTGTGAGGAGCCTTCTGCTGAGGCCGACTAAGGGTTTGAATGGCCACACAAAAGAAACAAAGGAGCACTGGTCCAGGTGTCACATCTTAGAGGAAAGTAAGAGGTCAATGGCAGCAGTAGAAGCTTTAATGGCTTAATTCAGGAGCTGATAATGGTCCAACAGATTAATTATTTTATTTAAAAATACTTTACTTTTGCAGGCTAAAGTAAAACCAACCCCTCAAAGATTCTGCTAGGCAAAGGAACTCTACTGAGTCCTATGATGCCCTTGTCTTTTCATACCATAAACATTAAAATTGAATATGAATTTGGGAATTTAGTCATTTTATTTGGTTTAGAATGGAATGTTAATATCTTCCAGTGGTCTGTACCCAATATGAAAGCTCTGCGTTAGGATTATTCCAAACTTTTAACAGCATGACCCAAAAATCCCCTGAATGACGCCTTGTTCATCTTTGAAGCCCATAAATTCAGCACGTCAGCACTATAAACAACGATGTTTATGAAATTTTATGATATGGCAGTAAACATTCAGCAAAAAACAAATTTTACATGTTTGTTGTGGCAGTGGAAGGAGAGTGGATCTTTATATATCTGTTTTTACCTGCATGTCCTTTTGGAAATCTAAATGCTATTAAGCAACAGTTAATTAAATAGAGGAATCAATACAGAGCTATTACACAACAGAGGTCATTTCAGTGCAGTGAAACAAGAAATTCAGAATTAGTAAGCTGCACACACACATAGACTGTAACACACATACACACATATATATACAAAGTTACTCTCAAAACTTTTTTTCTTAAGAAAACCAAAGTACGGATCTCTGCAACAGCTTTAAAAGCAGGAGCTTCCCTTTTACATGCAACATCCCATCTCCCTCTAAAGTCCTTTTTAAGCATCTCTAATGAAGACGGCTGCCTTGATGACAGGTCCCTTCTGCAAACACTGCCAGCCATCAGTCCCACCAGGTTTTAAACACAATCATTATTTAGATAAGGGCTGTGTGATTTTTACTAAAAAGATAATTGAAATTTATTTCAAACAATATTGTGATTTTGTTTAGATTTTTAGCTTGTGCATGTTTAGCTCCAGGCTTTATTTTGGGGCTTTGAGTGCTCTCTTCAAAACTTGCCAAAACGCCATTAAAAAAGCATTTCACTGTGAAAAGTGCTGCTCTAGCTCACTTGCATGGATCTGGAGGCTAGCTACAACTCCCATCTTCTCTTCTTTGTGCCAGTACCCAACATTAAGTCTATTTCTGCCACTTGAAAGGGCTGGAGTGAGAAAGTTGGTGTCTTACTCAAGTTGTAACAAAATGTAACATGACCAAAGGTCTAGTGTCTCTGTGTTTTGAAAACTTTATTGAGTATATATTGCATACACAATCAATTAACCAACCTCAGTTTAGATCTCGGCTAATATTTATATGTATATTTGTATTTTTTGTTTAAAGACACTGACCTGCTGCACATTTATTTTAATATTTTGCAATAATATGTAGTTTTTCTTCCCATATTTTCCTAAAACTGTCCCATTTTACGGTCTCCTATTCACTGTTCTTTTATTCTAAACCTACCTGTGAATATTCTTGCTTCTGCTTTAATTTGCCATCACTTATCTGTTGCTCCATTTTGACTTCCCCAAGAAGGGAGAATAAATAAAAATATTTCTGTTATATTCTAAGTCTGAGCCAGTAGGAAATTCCACATAAAAAAACCTGCCATATGTAGCCCTTTCTGCTAGCACTTATGTTTACTTTTGAGTTTATGAGCAGCCTAGTGTCTGTCTGATCAAAATAAAAATTCTTAATCAATCTTTAATTAACAGTAAAAAAAATAAAACAACTGAAGTACCAAATGTTAAATATCCACAGAACGAAAAAAAAAAATGAGCAGATGTTTATATTCTGCGGGGAGATGGATACAAGGAAAGCCAAATATTTAGACAGGCATTGAAACGGCAGCCCATTCTAATGAGAAAAGCTTCCCTGCAGCAGAGACAAGAGCTCTATAAATGACAGTGTTGCAATGATGAGAGCAGAGTAAACATCAAGCCTCATTCAAAAGCAACAAGGCCCCAGTTCAGTCGCCCTGCATGGAGAAGGGAGCAAAAAGGACAGCGCAAAAACAGTTATTAGGAACTAGAGTTTCTGAAGATCAAGTGAAAAAAGGGTTGAATGTAAAGGATATTATTAACAAATACACAAGGTTTTTAGCTCACTGGTAAAATAAAGAGCACTGGTTTACTAATTGGGCATTTTATACATTTCTTTTTTTTATTCTAAATTTGGTCCGTTTCAGTCCTCCTTTAGAGAACATAAAACTAGGTGTTTTTTTTCTCCATTTGGTTTAAAAAGTATTTTGTAATATCATCTAGGGAACTATGAACCTTTAAATCAGATTTAAAATGCTATGAAACTCTCCACTTATCTTCAACTAACTTTAAAGGCAATTTCCCCATCTGTCTAAATGAAAAATCTCTCCAACAATAATTTATGCACACTATATAGCTTTAATGCAC